CGGGAGCTCCGCCTCCGTGGGGCCCGCGCGGTGGCGAGCGGCCGACGGCGCGGGGCCGCGGGGAGGGGGCGGCCAGCCATGACTCCCGCTGCCCGCGCTCCGGAAAATCACCGCTCCCGGCCCCTCCCTGCCCCCACATGAGTCACAGGGAGGCCACTGCGGCTCGGGAACGAGCAAAGCAACTCTTCCCTCCTTGCGGCCGCCTCCCCCGCAGCGCGCAGGGAGAGCCGCTCGGGCTGGGGGAGGGGACGGCGGGCGCCGCGGGAACCGAGGCCGAGGGCGCGCAGGCGGAACCCGCCGCGCTCAGGCTGAGCCCCTGGACGGCGGGGCGACGCCGGAGCCAGGCCCACGTGGGCGCGCACCAGGGCCAGGCCGCGGCGCGACCTCCGCGCGCCATGTGCGGACTGCGCGCTTCCCCGCACAAAGGCGTGCAGACGCCCCCGGTCTCGGGGGAGAGGGCGCCGGGCCCGCGAGCCCCCGCTCCGGCCTGCGCCACGGCCCTCGCGCCCGCGAGGAGGACCTACAGCCACCGGCCCGCTCCTCAGCCCGCACCCCCGCGGCCGCTCACGAGGGTCCTCCTCACCTGGCTCCGGGCTCCCGAGCCCCCGGGGGACGAGCGGAAGGGGGGCGCAGGCCGCCCCTCGCCCCTTTGCCCTCCAATTGGCACGGAGGCACGAGGTTGGCCATTCCCCTCCCCCCAAGAGTGGCCCTCTCCTGCTGGCCCCCCTGCACACTCCCATTGGCTGTGAAGTATTTGAAAGACAAGCCCTCCCCTCTCAGGATTCTTTTCTGAACCCCAAGAAACCCCCCGGACTCCCCCCCATTAGTTAGGCATTCAAATGACTGAAAAACATCCCCACCCCGAAGGCCCCTTCTCACCTGGATCCTGGAAATTTCCGGGGGGGCTCTCGAGTTGCCCTCGGCTGGGTGCGGGGGGAGAACGTAATCCGGGGTGTCAACCCCCCCGGAAACCGAAGCAAGTGTTGGGGGAGGGGCGTAGCCCCCAACCCCTCCCTTCCAGAGCGGGCTGGGGGGTGGGGAGAGGCTCGCGGCCGCGCCGCCACGTCAGCAGCGTCCGGATTGGCTGTCCGGGGTCACGTGCCCGCCTTCCCCCCTCCCCGCCTCGAGGGCCGGTTTTCCGAGTGTTCCTGGGGGTCGTGTGAGGGGCTGAGGGCGCCGCTTGGCCCAGGCCTACGTCTCAAGCCCAGAGCGCGCTAATGCTGTTGCTGCCTCACATCTCCAGCTTCCTATCCTGCCGTCGTCGACGCCGTCCCCCCCGCTAGCCTCTCGGTACGGGTTCAGCATGGCTGCCGCAGCTCCGAAAAGCTCACGGCGCAGGCGCGAGGGTGTGACTGGCCTGGGGGAGGGGAGAGGAATGCTGGCGGGCGCGGCGACGGCGCCAGTGCGCAGGCGTGCGGGCCAACCGCAGCTCCCGCGTGGGCGCGGCGGAAGCCGCGCGCGCGGGTCGACGGCCTCAGCGCCCTTGCCCCTCAGCCTATCCTCGCGGCGACCTGGGCCGGTTGGTTGGGTTCTGGTCTTCGTGCTTGAGGCGCAGCTCGCCGCGGCCTTGCCGGAGTCGGTGCGGGAGCTGGGAGGGCCTTCAGGGTGCGGCCATCTCGAAGTGGTGAGACTCGGCCTGGGGAGAACTGTCCGTCCTCGTTCCTGTGCGGGCCGAGGTGCGCGCCCTGGGGTGGGCGTTCTGTTGGGCCCTTAGCTTTGAGACGTCTCTTGTCCCCTGAGGGCACCCTAGAGTTCTTGGAGTCATCCGTGTTCCGGGGGTCCTGTGCCCTCCACAAAGCTTACCGGCTGATCGCTTCCACACAGTAGCCCAGCTTTACGTTAAAACTCTCCTACTTTGAAAGCTGCGCTTTCTGTTCTCTAAGTCTTCAATTTCATAAAAACAGGGATTCGTTACATAAAATAGGGTGAGCCATTTGATACCAATTAATTTTTTAGTTTGTAGCTCATCACCTCTCCATCCCTCACTCTTAACCTCTAATATCCACTCTGCACTTACGGGGGAGTAAACTGGGCCACATCTATATCCCTTTCCGGTTTCCTTAGGGGTTGCTCTCCAGGTTTAAGAAAATCCCTTTACTTTTGACCTAGTTAACTAATTGGCTCTGTTACCCTGAGGCTACCTTCTGTTCTCCACCCTTTGGAATTTTAAGCTTTATTTCCTAACCCTAAATAAAAAGAACCTTTTCAATATCTTGCTATTCCCAGTAGACTCATAAATGGTCCCTTGCATAGGCAGATGTTCAGAAATTGTAAAAAATTATGTTTAATTCTCTATCTTCCCAGACTCACCTCTTCCTTTCCCCACCCCCACCCCGTTTATCTCATTCATCTATCAGGCTTCCAACACCAATACTCTTCAGACACAAGCCTGAGGTCTCAAGGTCCTCTTAGTTGGAGAAGTCACAAAGCTTTGCAGTTCTCACCTCATTTGACCTCTGGAGCATTTGACACTTGATCTAGCTTCCTTCCTGACATTCTCTGTACCCTTGACTTCTGTGTCCAGTCTCACCAGTTTCTTTTCCTACTTGTCTGTTCTCCACAGTTGCCTTTTTGAACTCAGCCCCTTCCCACAGGTTGATGTTTTTCAGATTATACTTGTTTTCTTCTAGTTCTGGTATCTCTAGGTAGTAAGTATCACACTTACAGGCTCAAAACCTTTCAAACTTGTGTAGTTCAGACAGCAATTCTGCAACAAATTTCCTGTAATTGTCCCAAACACTCTAAAATGTTCAGAATTGAAGCAGTCTGTATGTGCTTCAAACTTGGCTCTGGTCCATGTGTAGTGGTAGCCACAAAGGCTAGAATCTGGGAGCCCCTTTTTATTTTTTTCTGTCTCACAACTTTATATCCACAGACTCCTACTATTTGGCTTTTGAAGTATCCATTTAATCACATTCCCCCTGTTGACATTTCCTAGGAAATTTCCTTACTTCTAGAGCTATGTTGTCTAATACAGTAAATATGTGGTTATTAGAATTGACATACTTTTTTTTCCTTTATGTTTTTGAGACAGGATTCCCCTGTGTGGTTGCAGGCTGGGCTTGAATTTAAATACAATTTCAGATTTAGTTCCTCAGTGCACTAGTCATATTTCAAGTCCTCAGTAGCTAGTAGCTGTCATGGAACAGCAGATCATAGAATATTTCTGTCACTGCAAAGAAGTCTTTTGGACAGTGTTATACTAGGTATTCTTTTCTGCCTCTGCACAGTAAGGTCAACAGTGAGCTTTCCGAAATACAGCCCTGGCCTAGTATTGTGTGAGCCCTATGTTAATTCCTAATTACCTTCATGATAAAATCTTAACTTCTTGTGCTTGTAAGAAACATTTGGGTACCTCTTCCACCTCATGTACCTGTTTCTAACCCTATTAATTATTTAGTACAGGGTCTCACTACACAGCTTGGACTCCTAGTGATCCTCCTGTCTCAGCCTCCCCAGAGCTTAGATTACAGGCATGTGCCACCATGCCTGGTTTCGGTGGCCAGCTCTGCATGCTCTGGGTTCTGGATTCTGAGACCCGCATAGCGTGTGGTACTGGGGATCAAACCTGGATTCTTGCACTTGCCAGGCAGGAGCTTAGACCACTGAACTATCTCCCGAGCCCACTCCAGTCTTGTTAAACTGTCCCAGATATGCCATTTTACTCCACACCTCAGTGTTATACGTGTATATTTCCTCCAAGTGGAATAGGCTTTTCCTTCATTTACCTAAACCTAAATATCACCATCTGTGAAAAGCCTACTCTTGCCTCCCAAATTGAGCTGACTGCTCAGTCCTTGGTGCTGTTTCCCTTTATGATTATGCCTTTTACAGTCAGTACCATTTATGTAATTACGTTTCTCTTTAGTACTAGATTTTGATCTTGAGAACAAAGGCTATTTTTTTTTTTTTTTTTAAATACTCAGGTCCTGACAATACCTGGACAACATATTGAGCAAATAGTGGAAGGCAATTTGTGCTTAAATGAGTATGTAAGTTGGACACAATTGCAGTGTATATGTACTGTGGAGTGCTGTGCATAGTACTAGGGAATAATCGTAGACAAAAAGCATTACCTTTACGTATACTGAGAGGACTGGGGAGATAGCTCAGTGGTCTAAGTGCCTACCTGGCAAGTATAAGGACCCAAGTTTGATTCTCAGAGCTGCAGGCATGCTGGGTCAGCCAACAAAAACTGGGCATGGTCGTGCACCCCTGCGATCCCAGTGCTGAGGAGGCTGAGATAGGAGAATCACTATGAGTCTGAGCTATGTAGTGAGGCCCTGTACCAAAATAAATAGATACACCGAGAAATTGATGTGAAGAAAACACAAATTACTCTTACATAGCAGTAGTTCCATCTGGCCACAATGTAAGCTATAATAAGTAAAAAAGGAAGGAAAATTTTTAAAAGAGCAGGAAAAGAAAAAAAGGGCTGGCCAAATAGCTCAGCAGACTAAAGCACCTACCTGCATGGTAGACAACAGGAACCAGGGTTTGATCCCCAGTGTGCCGAGAGGGAGACAGTGATTGAGACTGGGCATTGTATGCACCTGTAATCTCAGCACTTGGGAGGCTGAAAATAGGATCACTATGATCTGTGTAGTGAGACCCTGTAGACCCTGTACTAAATACATTTAAAAAAAAAAAAAATCAGAGGGTAAATTTATTTGTGAAGGTAGTATGTTTTGAGTTTCTAGTGATGTTAAATGGGAACTCAGTGCAGAGCAATGACTTCATCAGAATTATGTCATTAGGCTAACTGTGGCCATTAATAAATATCAAAATTATCAGGGATTGGAAAGTGATGCCTTTGGTAATAGCTAGTATCACTCTTGGATGCTCAAGATGTGTCAGTTGGTTGTAATATGCTTGTCTAGTACATGTTTTCTAGCCTAGTCTTCAAAGTCCTCTAAAGTCAGTATCATTATGCTGACTGGCCACTTACCAGAAGTGTGACCTTAGAGCTGGGTATGGGTGGAGCACTGCCTGTAGTCCTGATGGACGAGTTTAAGACCAGCCTGGTGGCTGCAAAGTGGGTTCAGGGCCGGCCTGAGCTGCATAGGGAGACTGTGTGTGTGAGATAGATAGAATATATATATATATATATATATATATATATATATATATATATATAATCACCTACAGTTTTCAAGTGAAGCAACTGAAATGAGAGTAAATCATTCACTGGAGATCAAACTTTTTTTTTTTTTTTTTTTGGTCTTTTTGAGACAAGGTCTTGCTTGCTGTGCAGCTCAAGCTGGCCTTGAGCTCCCTTTGTAACCCAGGCTGGTCTCAAACTCAGCAAGGAACTGCCTGCCTCAGCCTCCCAAATGCTGGGATTACAGGCAGTGCTCTACCCACACACAGCTGTAAGGTCACACTTGGTGAGTAAAAGGCTAGATTTGAACCTGTATGCCTCTGAATAGTGTGTTATCAAGCTTGCAAGGCGTGGCACAGATTTCAGATCCAGGATTTAAATTGGAGAGAAAAGATTAGAAGAGGTATATTTGAGAGTTACCTTGGAGGTGATGTTTGAATCACCTGTACAGGTAAGTAATAGTTATAGGGAGGGATATTTAAAACATTTTAGAGCCAGGCGTGGTGATGCTATACTGTAATCTCAGCACCTGGGTGATTGAGGTAGGAGATCACCTTGAGTTAGAGGCCAGCCTGTACCACACAGTGAGACCCTGTCTCAAAAAGATCCTTAAAACATAAATAAAAAGAAAAACAATTTAGTGTAGGGTTGAAGATTGGGCTGTGGGTGAAACTCACACGGGATAAGAAGTGGAACCAGTGGAAGATCTTCAAACCAGGATGGGAAACAGCAACATGATATGAAGAAGCCCAAACAAGAGATGGTTCCCGTGAATGTTGAATGTTTAATGAACAAAAGAATGACTAAATCACTTAAGCTGGGTATTTTGGGGGAGAGGGGGTTGTTCTGGGAAGTCTTTCAACCTTATATATTTGTGAATGTGTCTGAGAGATCATAAGATATAAAATATGAAATTAGGGAAACATGATCTAGTATTTTTTTTTTTTTTTTTACCAGTGTATGCAAGAATGTGATTTATTGGTAGGGGTACTACCTTTCAAAATTATAAAGTTGGGCTATTTTAAGATGTCTGTAGTAACTATAATGTAATAAAATATTTGTTGATAGTGGTCTTTTTGACAGTTACAGACAATACTACAAAGATTTTTTATATATGTACTCAAAATCTTTCAGTTACAGTTTGTTGAAAGCAAAGTTTCCTTTTTAATAATTTCAAGTTTATAGATCT